ATAAACATACAGAATTTACGAAGGTGAAAATGAATATATAGAAAAATAAAGATTGGTGCTAATACATACTCACTACACATATTATCAATAAATTGAAGAACCAACAAACAGACATATACAACAATAGATATATATACACACACGATACATAGATACGAAAAAAACATATATATATATATATATATTTATATATATATATATATATATATATATATATATAGCATTGGTATGTCGTCAATTAAGTACAATAATAAACTTGATAGTTGATGCCGGTAGACTGATGTTTTACACTTTCTACACTGCTTCACATTTTCTTTCACCACCAATTCATCAGTGCAAATCAATTAATTACTCAGTGAAGAAACACAATTTATTGAATTTAAATCGATATATTAGGAGAAATACTTACGGTGAAAGTATAGACTATAGTCTGTTAAAAAAACAAGGAATTATATCAATGCAATAGTTTGATCGCGGGTTTTTTCAGAAAATAATCTCAAGCTATGAAAAATTGTAGGAGACAATTACAAGAAAGAGTTGTCAGAGTGGTTAAAACTATTCAAATTTTGTGTTGCAGTTAAGCTTACACAGTGGCGAAGCCAGGATTTCATCATTGGGGGGTCGAATACACATAAAAAAAATATAAATACAAAATAACGTACAAAAATTAATGACTGTAACGACTGTTTCAAGAGTAACGAATTTAGTATATTATTATAGGATGGGCTTAAATTTTGGGGGTTCGGGGCAATGCCCTTGAAAAAAAATGGATTTCTTTTCCCCTTTGTTCTTAAGAAAACCAGAAGATAGGAAAAGAAATATTTAGTAGGTCTTTTTTTGCATTAATTAATTTGAATTTTGGGTGGACTAAATAATAAAAATTGAATGGATTTGTGTCCCTCCTTGCCTAGTGGTTGACTTGTCCCTAGTTCTAAGTCACGTAATACTTCTATAGTAGTGAGAAAAAAAATTGAAGGGGGCCGTGGCACCCCCTGGCCCTACACTAGCTTGCCCACTGAGCTTACATCGTGTGCGGTTTTTTCCAGCGGTTTTGAGAAGTGAAAAAATAGCAGAATGGAAAATTGGCCAAAAATGCAGCACACGATGTGAGAAAAAAAAATGTTTGGGCCCAAACTTGAGTTACAAAATTTTATATATAACCGAACGATATTTTGAACTAAAATCTAGACCTAAACCTGGGGTAATTTTTAAATTACTAATCTCTAATTTAAACACTAATTCCCTA